TTTGACACCATGTCTGAAATCCCACGTGATCTGTCAAATACTAATGCATGAAAATCCTAACCTCAAAAAAATCACCCGTTATTTCCGAATTTTGCAAGCTCCTACTATAGTAAATTTGTTAAACAATTATCTAATTAAAAAACGTGGCTCTTTGAGCCAAAAGCGGCTCTTTGCTTAGCAAAGTACGGCTGTTTAACTTTCTCCTTGCTTAGAACATTTTTGCTCTTTTTACTTTTTAAAATACATATTTCATACATATTACACATATACATACATATTTTACATACAGACATATTATACATATAAACACATATTTTAGCCCACAGCAATTTGCCAACAAGAAAACAGCTGATCAAGAAGAGCTGGTTGGAATCTACGCAAATCCCTAAATTGAATTTGATGGGTTGGAATTTGAAACAGTAAAATGCGACTAATTAAACTTGTAAGAAATAAGTAATTATTTGTTTAGTCAGTGAACTGTGCCAGGATAAGAATTCTGGATTTGTTTACCTACGTTTTCAATTTTATGCTTTTCACAGGTCTATTCTGCTGGTAACATAAATTTATAACCGGTAATTAAAGTGTCTGTCAATTTTTAAACCTTTTTCGCATTCTGTGCTCTCTTGTAACCCTTAAATTTGGTTACCATCTCATAAGCTGGTAACAAAATATTGCCCCGTGAAATATGCAATACAGGAATTTCCACAAATCTTCATTGCTGAGTTGCTGAATATTTTCACTGCATTACCAACGTACATATGTACCTAGAATCACGGTGACAAGAAGTGGTAACATTTTTTTGGTAATAAAATTTTCCGGTCAGAAAATCTTCGGTAACGTGCAGAATAGACCTGTTAACGTAAACAAAATTTCTATCAGCTGTTCGTCTAACTTGCAAATTTCTGCAAATTTTCTGTTCGCGTACTACTTTGGATATTTTTCTCTTGTGAGAGAACAGATGATATTTCGTCGGAATTTCGCTGTTGGACATTTTTTACTGGAGATTTTAAACGAACGTACCTGTTAACTATCCAAAATTTAACATAATTGTTACGAACGGCTTTAACTGGCCTAAAACCAGATTTTGAAAACCTTGCCAAAGGGATCTTTTGAATTTTCTTTTATATCTATCTTACGTACAATAGAATAATAATAAAATGAATGTTTTTCATTTCTAATAATAAGTTTATTTAAAAATAAAATTTGTTTTTCTTGTTCTTTTTTGTGGCTTTTTGTAGCATTTAGAACTTAGATGTGGCTCTTTTCGGCCTCGGCCTTGCCTGCCCCTGCTATATACATTTTCATACAAATAACAGTATTAAAAATATGCTGCAGAAACACAACAGCAAATAACAGCTGAGCTAAAAAGCAATGACATTAGCCGTGGGTAACACAGTGCGGCGCCGCGCCATTGCGCTGATACCGAGAGCTGAGTTACTGGCGCCGATACCGATTTTCACAACTCAGTGACGCAATGGTGCCAGCAACACCGGAACACTGACAACACCGGGCGGCGCAAAGTACCAGCAAAGAACACACAAAAGAGAAGTGGCACTTGTAAAATGTGCAGCACAAGGCGAATTTTTAAAATGTGGTGTTGCTAAAATTAGCCGCGATCCTTCCGAATGTGAAAATTATGTGTTTGTTGTATTTTTGGGTTTTGAACTTGGGTATACTTGAGTTGTTTTTGCCCAATCGATACCACATTGTATTAATTCACCTTAGTTCAACACCGGATCACTGACAACGCCGGGTGTCGCAAAGAACCAGCAAAGAACACCCGAAATAGAAGAGTCTCTTGTAAAATGTGCAGCACAAGGCGAATTTATACAAGGTGATTTTGCTAGAATTGGTCGCGGTCCTTCTGAATGTGAAAATGATGGGTTTGTTGTATTTATGGGTTTTGAACTTGGGTATACTGGAGTTTTTTCTCAACCGATATCACCTTGAAATGAGCTTTAGCCTGAAGTGGCGCAATTGCGCCAACACGCTGTGCTGATTCCAACAGTGGCGCTGGAGTTAGTGTGTCAGGGCCAAAAAATTTGCGCCGTTACCCACGCCTAAATGACATGCTATAACAGTATGTTTGAGGTGGAATAACATGGCATAGCCATACATGAAATTTTTGAAAATGACATTTTAATAGATACGCTGGGAAGAAATTAAGAAAATGTTTAAATTTATATTTTGTGACCTACTTCACCGATTTGAAATCTGAAAACTATACCTTTCATGAGCATGAAATGGTATTATAACTTTGGCCCGATATTTGTAAGTACCAGAATAAGAAGAGATAGACTCATGAAAATGTGTACTTATGTATGTGACCAGAACATTGAGCTGAGCCGACTTAGGCTTATGGCAACCGAACTTCAGTTGGGTGGCTACTGGCTGAAATGGTTTTACAGATCGCAACTGCAAGCTGGCAATTGAGTTTCTATATTGGCTACTGCATTTTTGTGGTCGCTGCGGTAATAATCGAAGATTGTATATCTACATATAAGGTAAACTTCAAAGTTTAGGGGGGGCCCCTACGTAGCGACGCCCATGCACAGAATAAAAAAATTTACTAATCGAGCCTTGGTTTCACAATTTCCTTGAAAAGGCGAGCAAATACTTTTGTTTGCAAATACCCTTTTTGTCTGAAGTTCTAGGAGTAGGATAAGGGTGCTAATTACTATCATTCTTACGAAAAGGAAAAAATAAACCTTTCCAGATTCTTAGACACCTTCAAAGGTATATGCAAACATTGAACGACATTCCTACTGAATATAGAGTATCGCCACACTAGTCCCAAATCAAGAAATTATTAAATTAGGGCCGAGATTCCAAGAATCGATCTCATTTTTTTCTGTGGACTTTTATTATAAGCAATTTTGTAAAATATGGCCTACTTTTTAAGAAAAAATGATAAGTCTGCGACTTGAAAATGTACAGGAACTTAATAAAAATTTTAATTGCAATAGCAAAACTAAAGGCATTAGAGAGTTAAGAATACAATAAACTATAAATTTAGACTAGCTATGCAACTGGATCCGGTAGAGATTCATTTTCGATTTCACGCAGGTCGGATGGAAATTGGTTTCCTTTGAGCATTTTCACTGCTTCTGGAAACATCTTTTGACTTTTCACTTTACTAAATTTTGGTTTAATGTGCGTTATATAGCGATCTGAACTTATCAAAAAGTTTTGCAGGATATTTTCGATGGTTTGTATTCGGCCAATCTTTCGCGAATGTCTTGATTTTTTCCTTTTCGTTAGAATGCTAGTAGTTAGCAAACTTATCCTACCTGCAACACCGCATTGTCTGTTGTCCTTAATATGCCTTTAGCATGTACTAAGCGATTATTAGTGTTAAATAAACAAAGTGTAGGTAGAGTGAAAAGCTGAACCAGTATGCACAAATTCCAGTTCATGGACTATTATTTAAGGGTAAAAGTCATACCAGTTCGTTATGAACGATAATTATACCAGTTCCTCATAGAAGAAGGTAAACTACTTGGTAGAAATTCTAGTTCGAAAACTGGTATTAAATGGGGAAGTCATAACAGTTCGTCATGGACTATAGTTATACCAGTTCTCCGCAGTGAAATGCCAAACCAGCCAGTATAAATACTAGTTCATTAACTAGTATGTGCTAAAGCGACGGCCTACCATTTCTGCGATTTCGAACAACTTATGTGATCAGCGACATCTGTCTTCGAATAGCCACAACCAAAACTAAATTGCGGTAAATTGCATTCATCACAAATGTCGGCTGTGGCGTCGAGTGAAGACTACCGATTCTGGTTCCGAGATCTCAGGTTCGAGTGCGCGTGGAGGTTGTTAAAGTAAAGTAAGTAAATTAATTTAATGAATTGTTTCAATTTAAATATAAAATATAAATTGTACATAAATTTAATTTCATTTGGAAAATACCTAAATTCTCAAATACCATAAAAAAATGAAAAGAAATATTTTTTGTTTTTTTTTTAACAATAAATTTAAAAATTATAACAAGAGATAAATAAAAAAAACTAGATAAAAAAAATAAAAATACAAAAAAGATTCGCTCACTAAGATACGAACGCGGATCTCTTGATTAGGCGTGCCAAAGCTTAAAGCTTTGGCTATACTTACACTGCAGTGCAGGGCATAGCAAAGCAGCGCATGTGAGAGAGAGGCACGATTATACATACATAGCGCACATCCAATGTCAGAGTCAGCTGTTTGAATATTGTTCGTTTGATTAAAAGAAAAGTTGTTCTTAACGCGCAGAGTAAGTTATCGATGCAAATAAATTTAATTAAATACTAATAACGCATGTTTTTACAAATTTTATTATTTTATTGGTCACCAGAATGGATAGAGATTTTGATGAAGACTTCCTTGACTTGATGTTTTTAAATATATGTCGTCTGCAAAATCAACGACAAAAATCAAGACGAGTACGCCGCTGGTGGGTTCATCTGGTTAACAGGGATCGAACCCCAAACGGATACTTTAAAAAAGTGTTTTTGAAATAGAAATTGCATGAAAACAAGCTTTTCGCTCTAACGAGAATGAACCGTCGCACTTACGACATATTGCTGAATATCATGCACCCCTTCTTGAAAAGACTCAAGCAGCAAATCGGTTCAGAAGAGCGATAACGATACATACACATGTCAAAGGCGAAATTTATAGTTTTTACTTACAAACATTGTAATTACTTTGTGTCTTTAAGGTACCTCGCGCACGGCACCCCGTTCGAAATCGTCGCTTCAATGCACAAGCTGGGGAAAACTACGGTTCGCAATATTGTATTGGAGACGTGTGAAATCTTATAGACCAAACTATCTCCAATATATCTCAGCGAACCTACGGTGGCACAATACACAGACATCGCGGAGGACTTTTTTAAGCTTTGGAATATGCCAAATTGTGTTAGAGCGATCGCCGGAAAACACGTTGCTATTACGTGTCCAAAAAATTCAGGTTCCCTATACCATAACTATAAAAAGTTGTATAGTATTGTTTTGATGGCAACCTGCGACGCCAAGTATACGTTTACGTCGGCTAGCATTGGAAGTTATGGTGGTCAAAGCGATGGAGGTAACACTAAATTTTTGTAAACCTATTAAACTTCACTAATTGCAATGTTTAATACCATGTCCCCACCAAAAGTTAACCATCTCAAATCGAACTTAACCACATCACTAACTATTGCTGTCCACACTTGTCCACGGTTTGAGGTTTATAAAACAGTACAAATGTAAAGAACAGTGTTCGGCCCAAAAATCGATTCAGGACTAAATTACTGCAAAATCGGAGCAAAAACCAATTTTCCGTACTAGATTGAATTTTTTTTTTTTGTTTCTGACATTAACTGTTTGACTAAAATATTTTCTACTCATGCAAAATAAGAACGCGAGGCAATATAAGGATAATATATTACATATTTAGGTAATTTTTAGCATTTTAAATATAGTAGAACGTATCTAACAATTAATTTTTTAAAAAGCAAACCTTTTCTACTTTATATAAATTTCATTCCTCATATATTTTTTAACAACTTAAGTAAAGTTCTGCATCCGCCAATTTGTGCAGCCATACATCAAAGAATAACGGTGTTACTTTATTGACGCATTGCTATGAAAGAGTTACTTTTTAACAGTGAGATTTGGCTAACTTTCAATTTTTTAACTGAGTGAACACTCAAAAAACGGCACCAAGAGGGGCATAGCATGAATGAAAAAAACGGAATAGATTTGAAGTCAAGCGGAGTAGAGGAGTAGATTTCAAATTTTTTCAAAAATAGGAGTAAATCTAATTGATTTTAGTGGAGTCCAAACACTAGTAGGGAACGAATTCTTCACATTTTAACGCTAATGACCCACAGATGGCGGGCAAACACAGGGTTGTATCAGACTTTCGACGTGGTTTCGAGTTGGTTAGCTTTTAACCATCTCAGTGAAATGGTTAAGTGCTGTCATTTTTATATGGCGAAACTACGCTAAATCAAGTGGGTTATCGGGATAACCAACTCAATAGCCATAACTACGTGGTTAGCTTCGGTGGGGACATGGTATAAGGTATTTTCCAACAAACTGATTTTGGACGGGCGCTCCTGAGTAATAGTTTGCCATTACCGCCCTCAACGTCTTTGTGCCGTGAGACCACAGAAGTATTTCCACATTTTTTTGTGGGCGATGCGGCATTCCCGTTGAAAGAAAATTTGATGCGGCCTTACCCTGGATCTCAACTCCCGCGATACAAAACAGTTTTTAATTACCGGTTGTCGCGAGCTCGCCGGGTAATTGAAAACAGCTTTGGTATCTTAACAGCCCGCTGGCGTGTCCTTCGCAAAGTCATAGATTGTAGTCCAGAGAATTGCGAAAAGATCGTTTTAACGTGCTTAGTTCTACACAACTTCGTTATGCTCCACGATCTAGAGCGTTGGTACTGCCCAGACAATTTCGTGGACAGAGATGACACGGAGCAAGGAACGGTACATGGAGAATGGCGTCATGATTTGCAAAACCTTGGTGGCCCATTGCCTTCTATCTCGTCACATAGGCGCAACGCAAGTCAATCTGCATACCGTTTAAGGGACACATTAGCACATTATTTCTTAAATCAAGGAGCGGTCCCTTTTTAGTAACAGCAATAACTAAAAGCTGGTCGCATATCGACACCTGAGTTGAAGATCGGCCTATCTCGGCAGCCAATTCGAAAACGCCATATCCTAGAAAACTTTTCAACAATGAAAATACATTGAAAATGTGCTAAGATAGGGCGTTTTTGAATCGTCAGCTGTGATAGAGCATTCTTCAACCATTAAATTGTTATTTATTAAAGTATTATTAGATACATATATGATCATTTTCGTCCTATACACACTTACTCTGGCAATCAAAACCGAGTGCATGTACGACATTTTATTACCTACAGTAACATTACTTTTTTAATAATAAGCGGATTGCTTTGGAATTTTGAGCAATTGGTCCTTATTATCCAATTTCAAAGCAATCTACTTATTATTAAAAAAGTTATGCTACAGTAAGTAATAAAATGTCGTACATGCACTCGGTTTTGATTGCCAGTGTATGTACGTAAATGTGGGAGCGAATGTAAATTTGTAATCAATTTACGTTTCCCAATAAATCTATGTAAACGTGATAAACTGAAACTCACATTGACGAGTATATAGTGCCTTAAAGATGACTACCGTTGTTTGTTATAACTTTAGATTTTCTTATTGATTTTTCTATGCCAATGTTTCTAGATGTAAAGATTCTCAAACACTTCCCATTTAATACAAATATTATAATATCTATCCATGCATATTTTTATTGAAAATAAATCATAATTCATAAATCAATTTCATATTAAACTTTTTTTATTTAAAACCAGACTATGATTAAAAGTACAATGTAAGGTTATACGACCAACGTATCATCAAAATCAGAGACCGTACCGGTTATGCATTTTATAATTATATATATTTTGAGCAAATAATACCGATTATTTCTGCTTTTTATTTTTTAAGGCAAAAATAAAAGATAAAATTTGCTTTTTATTTTTTTGAACAAAAAATAATCGGTAATTGTTGACTATTATTTCTTCAGGCAAAAATAGAAGTCAAAGTTAAAAATCAAGTACTCCAGAGCTGTGCATATTCGAATGTGATAGTTTTGAAGCTCCTACATGGATTTTAATAACCCCTATACCCAAACACCAGGGTTAGTTCAAATCTATACACATATGTATACATACAATACATGAAGGAAGTTTTTGTTAACGGCATCAGATCTGCACCGATTGTTCGATTTTCAAAACTGAGGTGCGAAATTAAAGGGCTTAGCCTCTATATTAATGTACCACAAGGCATGACTTTTTTGAAAAGGGTTGCCACATTTTTTAAACTATAAAATCTGCACCGTTCGTTGTATTAAAACAGAAGAGGGCTGTAGATGTGCAAGGTCTCAGTTTTTTGAATAGGGTGGCCACCTGCTTCTAAAATAGAACACTTACACCGTTTGTTATATTTAAACAGAATAGGTGACAAATAGAAGGGCTGGGCCTGTAGATGTGCAAGAAGGTTAAAGTTGTTTGAATAGGGTTGCCACCTGCTTCTAAGATCATACGACTTACACCGTTCGCGTAATTTAAAAAAAGGTGCCATGTAAACGGGCTTTATCTAAAGATCTGCAAGAAAGAACGTCTTATTTTTTTCAAAAGTGCTGCCGCCTAACAATTACACAAAAGCCCTCTTAACCAGCTTTCGTTTGATAGCAATATCGAATGTCCTTAATACATTACTTACCATTCATAGTTATAAATTTGTTGAATAAGTGGCAACTCTATTAAAAACACCAACATATTAATTTAGTCTCAAACCCCTTTCGCTTGATGCCCATATTGTGAATTTTACTGACTATCATATTTAAACAATGCATTTTTAATTAGGCGGCAACCCTTTAAATAACTAAAACAGGTCCGTAAGTCAATATTTTTCATCTGAAATCTCATTTGGAAACGCTACAGAATGGTGCAAATCTGATGCTTTTCCCAAAAATAAAAATTTATTAGGCGGCAACACTTTTGAAAAAAATAAGACGTTATATCTTGAAGATCTTTAGATAAAGCCCGTTTACATGGCACCTTTTTTTAAATTACGCGAACGGTGCAAGTCTTATGATTTTAGAAGCAGGTGGCAACCCTATTCAAAAAACTGAAACCTTCTTGCACATCTATAGGCCCAGCCCTTCTATTTGTAACCTATTCTGTTTCAATACAACGAACGGTGTAAGTCTTCTATTTTAGAAGCAGGTGGCAACCCTATTCATAAAACTGAGACCTTCTTGCACATCTACAGGCCTAGCCCTTTCATTTGGCGCCCCTTCTGTTTTAATACAACGAACGGTCCAGATTTTATAATTTAAAAAATTGTGGCAACCCTATTCAAAAAAGTCATGCCTTGTGGTACATTCATCTAGAGGCTAAGGCTTTAATTTTGCACCTCAGTTTTGAAAATCGAACAATCGGTGCAGATCTGATGCCGTTAACAAAAGCTGCCCTCATGTATTGTATGTATACATATGTGTATAGATTTGAACTAACCCTGGTGTTTGGGTATAGGGGTTATTAAAATCCATGTAGGAGCTTCAAAACTATCACATTCGAATATGCACAGCTCTGGAATACTTGATTTTTAACTTTGACTTTTATTTTTGCCTGAAAAAATAAAAGTCAACAATTACCGATTATTTTCTGCTCAAAAAAATAAAAGGCAAATTTTACCTTTGCCTTAAAAAAATAAAAAGCAGAAATAATCGGTATTATTTGCTCAAAATGATAAAAGTCATATTTTTAAAAGTCATGGAGGAATCAGAATCTACAATGAGAGGCGAGTCTAATGGTACCTTTGAAAAAGCTATAGCATAATTTTTTCACTATGCCTTTTTGATATCAAAAATTTTTTAAATAACTTTTATTTTCAGTCTCTGATCAAAACAGGAGCATTGAATTCAAAAGCTGAGGTCGTACGATTTGCAGCACATGCCCGAGTATAAAATATGTGCACAGGTACAATTCAATATACATACATACATATATAGTAGTACTCATCATCACTACATATTATAAAACAAAGTCACTTTTTCTGTCCCTATGTCCCCTTAAATACTTAAATCTTGAAAACTAAGCAACGGATTTTGATGCGGTTTTTTTTAATAGATAGATTGGTTGAAGAGGAAGGTTTATGTCATTATAGTGTGAAGAAATATATAAAGGGGGCGTGGCAATCGGACAAAATGTGGTAAAAAAAAAAATTTTTTGTTTACACAGCCATAAATCATAAAAGAATCCACCGATTAAAATGAAACTTACTTGAAGTTAAACTTTGAAATAGTTGATTCATATCTTATTTAACCAAAATTGTTTAAACAGAAGCAGCACTTTTTCCAAAAAAAGCTGTTTGTGTGTTTGTTCGCTGTCAACCGAATGAAACATTAGAAGTTATGCGGGAATCTCACCCCACCTCACTCATGTTGAATTAGATCGTATGGTGAAAGAACTCGGTACGTATGTATGACTCCCTCCTCACAAAATGGTGTTGAAAGTAGGTTGTCCTGTTATTTTATTAAGAAACCTGAATCCACCTAAACTTTGCAATGGCACGCGTTTGCTGGTAAAATCACTGAAAACTTTCATAATAGAGTGCACAATACTCACAGGATGTGGTACCGGAGAAGATGTATTGATTCCCCGAATCCCTATGATACCATCGGATTTACCATTCCAATTTAAACGTTTACAATTTCCGGTAAAGACATCTTTTGCAATGACCATTAATAAATCGCAGGGTCAAACCTTCAACGTTGCAGGCTTAGATTTGAGCGTTGACTGTGTTTCACTTGGCCAACTGTATGCCGCTCTTTCAAGAGTAACCTCAAGAGAAAACATGTTTGTATTGTCTAATGACAAGAAAGCTGTGAACGTTGTATATAAAGACATTCTGTAATATATTAATTGTTGTTGTAAAAATAAAATAAATATGTAAAAATGCAAAAAGTAAATATGTTAAAATGTAGGGTATGAATTTAGATATTCCAAAGATAGCAGGAAATCTTCATGGTATAAAGAAAGGGGAATTGTTTTACTCCAAATGTAACGCGTGCGGGCCACGGGCAGTAATGAATAAATCAAAACTACGGGATCGATTTTAATCATTTTTTCAGTGAGTGACATAGACCTTATATTTTATTTCCGTGCGAAGCCGGGGCGGGTTGCTAGTACAAAATAAAAATAAGAATACTCCATATAACAAATTACGTGTATTATAATTGCAGTGAAGGCAATACAAATTCATTTTTAGGTTTTTGAACCTTGGGTTGCATACACACCTACAGTATGGGTGCATTCCAAAACGTCAAAATACAAAGCATCAGTCCCTTTTATTTCTAAACCGCACTAGAAGAAAAAGTCTAAACCGCACTAAAAGAAATAGTCTAGCTTGCGCAACCTAGTTGAAAATTAGCATCTAATACGGCATTTCCACGATTCGTAATTCGCTCTCTTTTTCGTAATTCGCTCTCCCATTCGTCATTCGCCTTGCCAATTACCTTCCGAATTACGTAATTCGCCATACGAAATTTTGAGAGCGAATTACCTCATTTTTATGTAATTCAGATCGAATTACCATGCGAATGACGAACAAATCGGTGCCTTCTCTAATATTTATCGGAAATATATCGAAGTTTTCACCGGCCTGGTCCCAATTGCTGGCACTTTTTCTTGTTATAGAATAATATTAATAAAATATTCTCTATATAAATTAAAATTGTTGATGATAACTTAAATTTTAGCTACATTTTTGATATTTGCAGTACTCAAAAATAATAATAAATAGCGCAGAACAAGAACAAGAACTAGAGCTGCGAAACGAATTACTAATGTGGCGTGGAAACAGGGTAATTCACGAATTACCTAGCGAATTACTTAGAGAGCGTATTACGAACCGTGGAAACATCGTATAACCGTGGTTGCGCACATTGGGCATTACAATCTGCTGAGGTTTAGAAATAAAAGCGACTGATGCTTTGTATTTTGATGATTTGGAATGCACCCTATGTAACAAAATTTAGCAAATGGAGG